AATATATAGAGCCTTCTAAATAATATTACTATTACTTAAAACTCTTAATAATTATAAGTAGTTCCTGGTCGTGTGTATAATAACGCGTCTCTATATCCGCTATTTTATAGAAAAAGAAAGCGACCGGGTGCTATTATACCTTATCTTTTATATCTTTATACGGTTAACTAATGATTCTAGTAATTACGAATTCTAACACGTTAGTTTTAATCTAAATATGCTTCTTAGAATCGAAATACCTAAGAATTAGCGTAGTTATAAAGTAATTCTTTAACGATCGGAACGCATCTCGCGCTTCCAGCGTTAACTATATCTTAACTAACTTAGCTTTACGCTATACTCGCCTATCTATAGGGATTTTACCGCCATTCTCTATAAGTTTATTAAGCGGCGCCGTAATTCGTAAGAAGTCTATAATGAATTTACGATAATAGTTTATAAAACCTATAAATATTCTAATTTAACGTATAGTAGTAGGTTCTAGCTATTCCATGATAGTCTTTACACGCTCCAGCTCCATTTTTAGGCCGCTATATATTATAATAAAGCCGAGAAACCCAACTTCTTATTAGTAAAACTCATATTTAGATAATTTTACGTAGAGTTTATACTATCTTAGACGATTTAGTACCGATTTCACGTGTCCTTTATAATTCTACATGCTATCGGAGTAAATTAGTATATTATTAAGATAAACTACGTAAATCACGTTAAGTAATCCTATGAGTATAGTATTAATATATCCTTAAAACGCTCCTAGCGTATTTATTAGCCCGAATGGCATAATAGTATACTTAAAATAACTATATCTAGTCCGAAATGCGGTTTTCTACTTATCTCTGCGATGAATTTAAAGCCGGTAATATATATCTTATAAATCTAGCTTCGTAAAGTACTTTACCTTCGTTAATTAGTCTAAAGATTTACTAACTAGCGGTAATAGATAACGATTCTTCTTAGTCACCGTATTTAGTACCTAATAGTTAACGCATAGACGTAAACTTCCGTCTTTCTTCTTTACGAAGAGAATAGGTACGCCGGCTAATAACGTACTATAACGTATCTAGCCTCTTTCGAGGTATTCTTTAATATATTTATAAAGAACTTCGAGTTCTAGTCTCGAAAGTAGGTAAAGTAGGCTATAAGGGACGTCTACTCCCTCTTCGAGCTCGATCTTTAGCTTATACGGCCCGTGATTAGGGAGAAGTAATATATCTTCTACCGAAAATACATCTATATACTACGAATATATGTCGGGTAGCGTGTCTTCGCCCTAATTATTACTATCGTCCTTATCTTTATTAATAATTAATAAGAACGTAAGATAGATTAGTAATAATCGGGTCCGCACGGCGAGGTTCTATGCCTCCTTACTAATAGTTATAACTTACTAGTATAATTTACCACGGTATTATCGGAACGTTAATGTCTCCTTCTAAAAATTAAGGATAGGGTTTAGGCGTCTAAGCTAAGGTATCCCTAGAATTATATTCTATTAGCTAATATTAGCCACGATGAATTTATTAGATATCTACTATTTTATTATCTTCGAGTCATGAACTTCGTAATTCGTTATAGCTTTACCTAAAGTTCTAACTTTATATCTATTAACTACAATAGTTCAGCTAACTTTACCGAGATCATACAATAATCTATACTCCTTTATAAGAATTAATAAAATATAGTTATCTTCTATACTAGTATCTACGAGGGCCTATATAGTTTTATTACTATTTACTATAGGTAATGATACTTTTAGTAATATTAGATCTTTACTCGCCGGAAGGCGCTATAGCTCCTCCTAAGTATATATAATTTAGCTAAGAATACGGTTAGGTCTCGTGTACTAGCCTATTCTTTTTTCGGATTCTTATAGTTAGGTAAAATATATCCTATTTCTCTATACTTATAGTAATGAAGTACGCTATAATTCTACTATTTTACGATAGGCGTTATATTTAAGCCTATGTCTTATCCTTTTCTACGTTAAGAAGTACCGCCTTAATTATTTTAGTATCCTCTTAACGCGTTTCTACCCCGATTTACACTCTTCTAGCGCTAATTATAGTAAGGTTACTCTTAATCGAACGTATTTAATCGACCTCGTTTCTAACCCGTATAGGGTTCGTTGGTTTTATCTAGAGAGCCGCGTTCCTTAAGAATATAGTAGTATTTATTAGCTTTCTTCTCTAATTCGTATAGATAGTTAAAACTTAATAATACTATTCCTAGTCTTTCGCGGATTAACGGAAGTAGTACTTTATAAAACTAGAATATATAAATATTTTCCTATAGCGTAGAGATATTATCCTATAGGTTTTAGAGGTATTATAGTAGTTAAGTAGGTGTCTAGTTCGGTCGTTATACCACGCTTCTTAACTTAGATAGTGCCTTTCTTTCACGTTCTCTATCCGTTCCGAGGGTGTTTAGTATAAATATAGCTAAATATTTCTAGGTTATCGTAGATAGTAGCTATACTTCCTTCTATCTATTCTATTAATCGCGGGATTATAAGTCTAGGTATCGTTCTCTAAATGAAATGCGTTATACTTTAGTAGAAAAGAGTAGAGGGTTATTAAGGAAGTACTTTTCGTAGTCTCTCTTCTAGTCTTTCTACTCCTTTTAGTTCTTCCCTATAAATATAGTTAGGTCTTTAGATTTTAGTATATCTAGGGAAGGAGTAGAGTAAATCGGTAACGAAGCGGCCGGGTATACGGTAGATTATCGTAACTCTAATGGTAGGTGAACTAATTCCGCCTGAATTAGTATAGGAAGTCGTCCACCTACTATCGTTCGGCGTAGTTCTTTAAGAGACTTCTTAAGTTCTCGTCTCTTTGCGAGGAGTTTCGCGCGTTCTACCTATTCTTTAAGAGTTTAAATCTCTTAAGCCTAATTCGCGACGTATTCCTAAAGTTCGGTAATAGTTTATTATAATACCTTGCGTAGCTCCGCCACGACTCGTTATCTAGCTTTATATTATTAGAAGTTACTTAGCGTATCTACTATTTCTTCGTCTAAAAGCTCTATGATTTAGTCTAATATTTCTACTTCTTAGTTAGAAACGGCTGGGATTAATACCGATTATAGAGGATCCCTATTATTTAATATAGTATTACTTATCTCTATAGTAGATCGTATCGATCTTCTCGGTTCTAGTTAGACTATCTTAACTATAGTACTATATAGGGAGTAATTCGAATATAAGAATAGGGTTATTAGATAGTAGTATAGTTAGATAGAATAATAGGGTGTATTCTATTATAGAACGAATTACTACCGAACCCTTTTAGTAGGAATCTAAGAGTATATATATAAAGGGACGCCGATCTATCTAGTATATAACTGTTTACCGCCCTTTACGTTACCTCCTAACCCTGTTAGCTAAGGTACGTGTAGGTCGGGTCCTATCTAAGGCTAAGTCCTAACAATAATAATCTATAAGGATTTCTACTTAGAAAAGTTATTACTATAAGAGATAAGCTTAGAGAGGACTAATAGATTAAGCTTAAAGTTAAAAGCTATCTAGTAAGGCGCTTACGGAGGGCTACGTAATTCTAGAAGGGTTTTAGATATAGTAGTATCTAATATATATATAGTAGGAGGAGTAGAAGTATATAAGGCTTATTTATTAGGCTTAGTAAATACGGGAAGTAGTAGGTATACTTTAAAAAGAACGGAGGATAGAATAAAGTCTATGAATAGCTGGATATAGATAGTATAGTAAGAATTATAATAGAAAAACGATAGATAATTAATATAGCGGAGCTATAGGGATTATAATCTATTAAAGTTCTAAAGAAGTTATATTATCTAAGTCCTTAAGTCTAAGAGAGACGACTTAAGTATTCTACGCTAATAGCTAGTGTGACAAATAAATGAGAGAGTAGTTCCTTCCACATAGATTACTAAGTACATAGTAAGTTTAGGGTAAGCCCATGACGCAAGGGACAATATGAGGGAAGTAGGTTGCGTTCAAACCGTAGATATTGGGCGTAGATGTGGGAGCCGGGGCTCGACAGCAATCGATTCAACTAAGAAGCGGTTGTGAACGTTGGCATTGAAGGAAGTGGGGAAGTATATCCATCCTTAAGGCATCTAAAACAACCCACACTAGAAAGGCTGGCAAGGCTAGTACTAGTGTAAGTCCTTATACCCACCATGAATGAACTTTGTGGCGCGTTAGATAAAGTGGCACAGCAAATAAATGGTAGAACGATATCTGTATATCCGTCGTTCTCCTAGAACCTAACACACCTAGCACTTGTACACACGTATTCTTACTTCATCTTCCTATTTTGAGCTCTTCTATATATTTTTTTATAGATGAGTATATAAGAATATCAAGAGTCGATATAATAGACAAATGGATATATCTTATGTCGTTTATAAGTCTATCTTATGTCTATAAAGTCTCTATTAAGAGATAGAAAAATTTTCAAAAAATCTTAGAAGTTCCTAGAACATAGCCTATGTGAAAAATATTTACTAAATTTTTCCGTATTATGGTACTCTATAAGTCTATATAAAATTATAATATGTGGACTCTTATAGAGAGGCATAGAAGTCCAAGAGACCTCTGAAATGGGGGTGGGCTGAGCACGCGTATGTGAAGAAAACAGCCAAAGAGTCAGATTGTATAGGAAGAACGACGAAAGGTTAAGGGCAACGACAGCTAGAGAGACCGTGGCAAGACATTGCTAATGTGCTTTGTGATTTCTTGGGATGCGACTCCTCGGACGTTTACTAGACGATATACATACTTATGTGCCGTAATCTTCTTTCAGCAGGCTTATGTCTGTATGCAAAGTCAGTCTAGGCCTGCGAGATAGACTTCGATATGCCTCGAATGTGGAACTGACGGTAGGCGTGCAAATATGTGTACGGGGTATCATTGTGTTTGTGTGTTATAGGTAGGGTAATTACATACTTTTCCATTGCTACATGTCCTGCTTTTTTGTTGAGAGCTATACGTATATCTAAACTCAGATCGCTTGTTGTCATCATTTCGTATTTAGTTCGAAGGGGCCCGCGTTTGCTCTCAATTCCACGGGTTGTCCGTTGATGTAACCTCCGGTAGGCGCTGTAGGCGTCAATACTGGTGACTTGGGCTGGTCGTGCTCGGCCGTTCTGGGTTGCCAATAGGTATTACCGCCGGAGTAGTGGTGGTACGCTTGAGCATGCATGGCTCGTTGTTTGTCTGTGTGTGCGCGGCGCGAGCACCAAAACGTAGCACCGATGATTGTCGCGATGGCTAGAGAGGCTCCGACTCCAATACCGACACCAATGCCTAATTGGACGCCTTTGTTGTAGACCGGACATGTGGAGCTTTCGGCTGGTGCTATGGTAGGGCAGCTACTAATGGCAGGGCAGCTACTATTATTGGTTGGGGTAGGGCTCTGGCTCTGAGACCCAGTAGGAACTGGTGACTCTACCACTGCACAGTCGGACGGAGCAGTGAAAAACTGAGTGTCTCTTTCCGAAGTTTCGCGATCCATCTGGCCGCTGTCAAACCATCCATAACTGGCTTGTTTGGCCATCTGAATATGGCAGGGAAAGGCCCATGCTGCAGTTACATTCAGAGTATGGGAGCCTTCTGCGGGCATATCAAGGAATTGAGCGACTAGAATACCGTTAGAAGCCTGGAATAAGCTCTTCTTAATAGAGAGTGACCTTGGTTGTTATCGCCACACCATAGGGTCATGACGTTCGGCTGGAAGCTTGAGATCCAGCTCAAGTTCACACGGTCCCCTTCTTGCAGGGCTGGCACCAAGCCGACCTTGGAAGGCCAATAGAAAACATCGAGATTTGTCCTGCCTAGGACTGGAAGTAGCAGATGAGAGGAGAATAGAACGAAGGACAAGAAGCACCTAAGCATGGCTGAGCGAGTGACTGTCGTGCAAGATACGAGGGCGGCAGCATCTTAATAACGTCTGGTCATCGTCCTGGCAATGTAACTCTGTAACTCTGGACAGTGGCTACATCCTGCAAGCTTGGGGCGCAGGCATCGTCTATTGTGTGGATAGACGCTGACCTTGCGGTTAAGAGAGAAGACTTCAGCGTTTGTTGTATCAGGACATGCACGGTATTCTATCTTGGGTAGGCAGACTGGGTTGTTTACTCAAATCTAGAGTAGCTCATTTATGTAGTGGCTAGACCGTAAGCAATATAGACTGGTGCGTTTGCTCACTACCGACGTAGTGATTGGACGTGTTGACGCCCGTTCATTCTAGGCATCAGGCACCTAAGGGCATCAGGACCCATAAACGGCCCGGGCTGCGGCGTAAACAGCAGCATTGTAGATAGGTTGATCTGTCAAGTGGAGTGAGGATGCGGGCGCTTCTAAGCGGCTGACCAGGAGAATCGAGTGGTCTAGGCGGTACTGCAGACCCACCGATAGCCGGTCACTCAAGTATCATCAATATCATCTCGTTCTTCTGCCCCCTTCCTCCAACCGCTCCTGTCCAGACGCAGATGTAAAACACCATGGTTCTTGCGAGACTCACATCGAAGCCGGCCTTACTCGTGCTACCTGTCTTGCTCTTGTTCATCATTGCCTACCACCTCTCGTCAAATCATCATTTCCCTACCCCTACCATACCTCAGCTCTCTGTCCCACGCCACTGCTCTCCAAACCTAGCCAGATTGCAACAGCTGAAGCTGTCCGCAGAGATAAACTACGGTCGCGCTGCTATAAACGTTCGTTATGCTGCCTCCACATCGCAACCCGAACAATTTCAGCTCCCGCTTCCTGAATTCAACAAGATGCGGGTGCATGAACATGTGGAGGGAAGTGAACCTCCTCAATGCCCAGAGCCTTTCATGCTAAGCTACGACACTCCGCCGCCGCCACCTGACCTCTCCCACATCATTTTTGGCGCCGCGACGACGATCGATCGATTGGAGGCCTCGTTCTATGATTTTGCTCATTGGATAAGTGGCACAAATGCTCTGCTCTATGCAATCCTTGAGCCAGCAGCCGCGCCCGATATCGAGCGTTTGAAAGAGAGAGCAAAGTCAATGGGATTCCGACTCACTGTGGAAGAATCAGAATTGGACTGGCATCGACGCTATTTCACCCTTACGCGGCGCTTCTATGAACATCACACGAGCACCACCAAGTGGGGTATAATAATTGACGACGATACCTTTTTCATCTCGCCTACCCGCCTATCATCTTTCCTGGCCTCCTTTGACCATACGCAAAAATATTACATCGGGGGTGTGACTGAAGACTTCGGACAGATTAAGAACTTTGGTATTTTTGGATATGGCGGTGCGTCGAACATCTTATCAATTCCATTATTGGCAGAGTTGAACGGTCTATACGACGTGTGTGTTAAGGAAGAGACTGGTGGAGACATCATGCTCGCTAGGTGCCTTTATGGGCACACCGGAACCAAGCTGACAATGGAACACCGATTACATCAATTCGACATGAACGGAGATCTTTCAGGAATTTACGAGTCCGGTCGCCGCCGGCCCCAAATGCTTTCAGTGCACCATTGGAAATCGTGGCATCAAGCAAATATGACCAACATGGCTGCGGTGTCATCAGTCTGCGGCGATGAATGTTTGCTTCAGCGCTTCAAGTTTGCCGATGGTTGGTGGTTAACCAATGGCTACTCCCTCGTTAAGTACAGCAAAGATCTCTCGCTAGACGATGTTACGATCGAACACACGTGGAGAGAGAATGGAGACTACTGGCACAGCTTCGATCCACTGCGGCCAAAAGACGAGGGAAAGACATCTTTGAGACTGGAGCTTGTGGAAAGGACGGAGAATAGTGTTTCTCAATTCTACGTGCAAAGGAAGGAGGGACTCGACCATGTATTTGAGATGGTCTGGACGACGACGTAAAACCACGAAACTAGCACTTACTGTTCTTTCTGCCTATTCATTGGTATAGATATCCCACGGAGATGCTTATCCACATTCAAGACGTCAAAACAAACCTCGTCTTACAACCGAATGCTTCGGTGAAAGGCATTGTGCACTATTTCTCGACTAAAGATTTGGACCACCCGCTCCCGTATTAGCCTTACCGGGCGGGAGACGCTGGACGTTCCACTAACTCTTCATATTTCTCCTTTTTACACTGTTACATGTTCGGGTGTTGTGCGAATTGCTTGTATTCTTGTGCCATCTATTATGCGATGGCAGCAACTTATAACGTTGGAAGCTTCAATGCTTCATACAGCGCAAGAAATCCTGAGAGGCCCCTCGAATCTTGTAGTTCGATATCTCGCTTCGAAAGTATCTGTAAGCAATACGCAAGCATAGAAGTCAGTCCTCTTCGCCGGCTTTACTCGTGATCTAAACACATGATACAACATCTCGTCAATGCGACAGACACTATTACCCGCCGCCAGGCTTGCAGGTCAGAATGCTAGCATATTACAGTCACATGATAGCTTTGCGTTGCATCCACATCCGCTTTTCCGGTTGAAATTATCGTTTATCATTTTCTGAAAAAAAAATAGACCAGCTTTCTGATAGTAACCGATTGGCTCTGACACCTAGGATCAACCCTCACCGCTGGCACTGCGGCGGGCAACCAAGCAAACAAGCAAACAAGCAAACAAACAAACCAAAAATATCGCAGAGGTCAAAAGGATACACCAAATCCAATCATCCATCTCGCCGTCTCCTCTCTGCGCCACAGCCACACACATGCCACCCACCAAATCACAGAAACAATACGGCAAATGCTCTCCACACAAGTCCTGAGTTCCCCGGCAAACACAGAGGGCCACAGCCACAGCCACAGCCACAGCCACAGCCACAGCCACAGCCACAGCCAGCCTTGTAGACAAACGAATTTCCACAAACGCACGCGCCATGCACAACGACGAACACACCGCCGCACGCGCTGTGCAATGAATACAATGCAGCACAGTCCATCGTCGTAAATGTAAAACGCAAAACGCGACACATCCCCCACGCACGAAGGGAGGGGTGAGGGGTGAGGGGTGAGGGGTAATCAACGAGTCCATGACGCGGGTTTTTTTTACCAAAAAAAAAAAAAAAAACCGTCAAGGGCCCATCCCTGCCCGAAAAAAAATTCAGATCACGTTGTAATCATGTACAAGAATCAAGGAGACAGCGAGCAGCATGTGCAACAGCAAGCTCTGCAACTCATGTGGCGACGCTGTAGTGTCCGGAAATGCACAAACAAGACGCTATTCTTTTTCGAGAAGAACTGCGTCTGTGTGTGTCCGTGTGTACATACCATGTGCGCCTACGGATATCCTGCTCTTACGTATAGATTGGGAAAAATCCCCAAAGCCGCCTTCCTCAAACCCCCCACACAGACAATCATGTTTCTGTATACAACCAGGCACTCCGATGGTTTGCGTGACTGGCAGTATGGGTCCAGTAATCATGAATGTAACTGTACAGTCGTCAAGCACACTTTGCATTGAAACAGCACAGTGTAGATTTCTCATTTCAGAGTCTCTGCAGCAAGACGAAAGTCGGAGGAAGGCGAACGAAGAGCCAAAATTTCAACGGAGGTCCGGGTTCGCTTGCTATGCTATTAGCTTTGAGTCGCACCCGACTAAGCTGGCTACCTGTCTATTGCCGGTTGGGGCGCGGAAGTAGTTCGTAAATGTTGGTTAAATTAAGGTATATCTGCTTATGGGATGTGATACCATTCCTTGTCTCGAAATCTAAGGCAAACAAGTCAACAAGCTCTTTAATTTCTCCAACACAATTTCCTGCCGACGAGCGTCCACTGTCGTCCTGTCCTTCGCATCTCCCGGGCTCACACTGACGAAACAGCCTTTGTCAAGAACCGTCTTCTCCCTCGGCAATCTTCCGTCGTTGTTACATGTCACGACGTCCTTGTTCCAAACCAAGCCGACATTGATCCTACTAAGCACGAACTTGAAATCACTGATATCATTGCACTTCTTGTTGACTTTCGGGAAATTAACATTCAAAAAAACGTTCTCTGGAAGATACGGGGCTCCTGACGCGATGACCGCATCTGTGAGGTTCATCGCCAGATCAGCGTAGATCTTGCTGTAAAGTGGCGTGGCGGCGTTGAATGCTGTTCGGTGTCCAGTGCTGCCACTGAATGCGATGGCCGGGATACCTTGCTTAACGGCTTCAATTGCTGCACCGATGGTTCCAGAGAAAGGAATCTGGAGTTCGATGTTGGTTCCAACATTTGGGCCTGTTACGGCGAGCTCAGGGGCGCCGCCGAGTTCACGAGGCGAGACGGTGGCGATACCGTATTTCATTGCCGTGACAGGATAGGAGTTAACGTAGTTCAGGCGCGAGTTATTTGGGTCTGCGCCGACGGGACCAGAGTTTGCAGGGCAGGAATTGAATTCGCAGGGTTTGATGCGAGGGGTCGGTGGTTTGTCAGACGAGCCTGCTGAATGTGAGCATACAGAGTTCAACGATCAAGGACGTGCAATGACATACTGCTTCCAGATTGGTTGTCAGCGGGACCTGACAGGACGACGCTGTGGCTCGCTGCGTTCAGTACTTCGTTGAAGACACGGATGTTCTTCTCAGCCCAGCCGTCATCATTAGATTGCACGATGCGAATTGCGCCAGCAGCGATGGGGAGGATGGCGATAATAATGGAGCGCATGGCGACAGAGCCTGGGAGCGAGAAGACGTCGGTGACTGAGGCTCAAGCGACAGAAGGCAAGGCTGGCGGCTGGCTGATTGATATGCGCGATATTCAACCTCTTAAATGAATGTTGATAGTGGATCTCTTAAGACAAAGCCAGATTTAGTCGCTACCCCGGACGGACGTGGGGTGGGAGTGGCTGGAAGCAATGCCCACGACCACGTTCCCGGAACTAGAGGGAAAGCGGCAGGTCGATCTGCCGTGAGCCATAATTTGCTGGTAACATATTCATGACAGGCCGTGAGAGGCTCCAGTGAGGATGATCTGCCTTTCGCTTAAAAAGCTTGCAATGTCGTTTGTGGGCCACTTGACGTCGAGAGCTTACACCCAGGCCGTTTCTAAAGAGATATGCCGAGACGCTATTGAAGCAAAGTTGGAGTGTCGAATGTCGGGGGCACAGATAGAGATCCGTGCGAGTTTTACCATCTTCGAGCAGGACTGTAGAATCATGCATCCCACGCGGAATATGTCATAGGAATGAGATCTGCCGACCGTCATTCGGTCTCTGGGTTACAAGTCTCTGCAGCAATGGGTGCATGAAGTCACGAAAGCACTCGGTGCATACACGTGCTTTATGGAAGTACTATGATGGTTCCATGAGGTTTCACTATCTTCTGCTGCGGATTTTCGGTTTTTTGTCTCTTTTGGAGAATCTCGTAGTGCGCTTTGGCGGTGTATTTTGAGGGCCATCCTCCGAAGATATCTTCTTTGGCAAAATCTTCTTTACCGCACCCATCTTTGGTGGGCCCCTCTTTGGTGGACCTTTCTTTGCAAATGTCCTCTCTGGCGCGGCCTTCCTCGTGCCTAGGCTGGCTTTAGCCTCTGGTTGTCGCTGGTTCTATGAGAAATCTGTGTTTCTCTGATAACCTCGCACTACGACGAGGTTGCTGAACAGCTTGTTCAACGGCTGGACTAGTGCCCCTGGCCTTCGTGGACTGAGTATTATTAACAACTTCTACCCCCACTCTGCCTTGCTCCAGAGATTCGACACGACTAGCAGTCGCGCGGGCCTTGCGACTTTTCCGAGAGACCTGCAGTTTCACCTCCGCACCTGGGCTAGCACGCTTCTTTGTGTGGGCTGTAGTTTGCGGCGACAACCTCATGGACATAATACCCTGTTGTTCAGCTTTCACAGAGGCTGGGACGTTTGAAGAAGAGGGTGCCACTACGATGGAAGCCGTGGCGCTTGCCACCTCCGCCTTGATAAGCGGGACCTGTTCCTGTATCCAATTTACTAGAGGCTGACGGTGTGCGTATCCTTTTATCATGTCGCAGAAATTCTGCGTTCTGATGAGGTATCTCTTGATGGCCTGTTCCCGAGTCTCGACACGTTCGAGCTCTCGGGTCACCATATCCAGCCTGTTGGACTTCCAAGTGCTTACCGTTGCAGACTGGTCGGATTTTGGTGCTACATTTGTCTCTGATGCTTGTATGGCTAGATCCACGGTCCGGCGCTTCGAGGCCAGTTCTTCTGACCGTGCGTGCCTACGTGACTCTGAAGACTCGAGTGAGTCGATAGTCTCGGAAAGGTAAAGAATATTGGAAGAGTCTAAATGGTGCCTCTCTTTGTCGAACAGCCTGAGTGTCTTAACTGAGGGCTTCAAAAAGCCAAGCTCCTTCTGCTCCCAACCCAAGCATCCAGACGAGGTGCTTAGCAGATCTTGCTTGTAGATATCCTGTATCAGATGTAAGGTCTCTTTCAGACATGCGGTACGCTGCAGATAGTCTTCCATGACGCGCGTGTAGTATTCAAAACGAATTATTGGCATCCTTAGGCCGTTCTATAAAATAAGGGAACTCCAGTTACGGCGTTGACTGAAAATGTTTAGTTCTCGTTTGGGGTCGACAACATCTTCTCGTACAAATTGCTGTTCTTTGCGGAATTGTTTTCAGTGATACAACTGCGTACGATATATGTCAATTGAGCTTGGCTGTCGGTAGTCGTAGAAGAATGCCAGTACTCCTTGGGTCGATTCGGCAGTTTGTATTTCGAAATCTAGATTCTCTATCGGAAAAATCGGACGACCACCATCTTTCAACAACTCATTGTATGCAATCTCCTCTTGGTTCAGGGCATACTGGCAGGGTGGTTCGTCGATGGTCGAACCGGTAGAAGCTGTTGATGAGAGCGAGGCTGCCTGTATAAAATTTGTAAGCAAGGTTTGAACGAGAGCTAGAGGAAGATATGACGGTTTGAAAACTTGCCTGAAGCAGCGCGTAAGTTGTGAGGAAGTCGAGATGAGGGTTCAACCGTTTCTAGTGATAAGAAACGAGCTGTGAGGTTCATCACATCGACCGGTTTCGTATTCAGCTTCTTGTTTAAGCGGGCTGATGCGGCCCTGAATGGAGGTCAGAGATGCATTGACTATAAGATCTATACACCCACAATAGTCGATCTTTAAACACAAGCGGAAACGGGAATAAGCTCTCAGGATCCCGGACGATGAACTCATGATGTACGCCCTGCGAGGTCGAGGCAAGATAGGTCTCGAGCTCATCATCTGTCAAAGCGAACACGTCGCGTGCGTAGAGCAGTTCGACTGCTGGCATGCTTTGGAGTAGGTCAGGATATCCGAAAGGTGTGCAGGTGGCCGAGAGAGTGCAGAGGCGAAAGCTGCATCGTGATGTAGACTGATGGAAGCGCTAGATTAGGCATGTTGATGTTCTAGGATTTGTTCGTTACAGACATAGATCTCGCCGGTCAGACAAAATCACGAAGACGACAAAGGCATCGTGAAAGCACGCAACTGGTTACAAGCATCCGCCGTTCACGTTGCAGCGACTAATTAATTATAGCGCTCTATTCAGATGTAGGCTAACGTACAGTTCCAGGAAAACTGAGACCAGTGGCGGTCCAGATCTCTCATTGGCCGGATCAAAGAAACTCAGTGGGGCTTGTTTGCCCGTTTTCCAGAAAATCTCACCGCTTGCGTAAAGCGGACTCGCGTCCGAAATCTTGTCATTTGTTTAGCCGTTGCCTTGTTCATAGTACTCAATCGGTCATGTTCACCCTATCATCTTGTCGTTCTCGGGACTTTTGCAAGCTCAGGTACCTTCTGCGTTAGAGTCGGGTATGATATAGGTAGTGCCTCATACTAAGCGCGTCAGTAGCCAGTCTCCTACCACCTGCCGCTGGAATCCTTATAAGACCGTGAGATGCAGCAATCAGGGCAGTGTTCAAGAAGCCCTGACATCTCAACAAGCCTCCTTCCTCTACCGGACTCCTTTCGGGGTAAAATGAAGATTTATACGACTAACAATAAATTTCCATTTGCAAGCAACGTATCTAGCATCGAACTCCCTCGATTACTACAGCAGACTTACGATGGGCGGGATCCTGTTCCGTCATGCAAGGTGTATTGGCTGGTTTGGGTTGATAGCCATAGGAGCTCTCTTACAACTGTATCATAGAGAAAGCCAATGTAGTCCCCCCAACTATGTCCTGGACACGTACTCGAGAGTCAGACAGTAACACCAGTCCCACCAACCATTGTTGTACTTTAGGGTGCTTCATATTCAGATTCACAGTCCATATCCTGCTGCTAGCGCTTCATCGATCATCAATCGCACATCGAAACCAGCGTAAGCGTCAGTATTCAGACCGACATACGAAGGGCAATGACTGCTGGTATCAAGGAAGATTCTGACATCTAACACTTTTGTCTTCTCACATTCATTGAATAACTTACTCTGAGGGCTTACTATGTATGTATGTTACTCTCCGTCCGTTTCGTTGGCGCTGGAAGTCCTCTACATGCATTCACACGCGTTTGGGGTTAGAGTGAACTAAACTAGTCAGTCACTCCATGCATCCTGCTCTCTCCTGTCCTCCCGTGCCCCCGAAGAGCTTATTACTGCTCAATGATCCACCGCATAACGCAGCGTATGGATCCCATACCACCTAAACTACACTCGTCACAAGTCCTTAGAATGTATCCTACACTGTCGGATGGGTGATAGATTAAGGTGGGCTATATATCTTTACTGTAAGCTACAAGCTGCTTGAAATAGGTCAGAAGGTGAAGTGGGATTCATGCGCTATATACCGTTGCGATTGCGATTGCGTACGAGAGGGTATTGGGGTAATGTGGTGTTTGTGGATAGGGAAAGATAGATTCGTTTTCGTTTCACTGTGTTATATAATCGGGCGAGATATTGTTGCTTGGGATGAGTAATTTCGGTGTGTCGGAAACAGCGTGATTGTTGTGCCTGGCTGCTTATGTGTGTAATTGTTGAACGAAAAGTGATGTATGTGTTCCGTGAAGAGTGCCGACAAAGAAGACAAGAAAAAGAAAGAATTTCGTGGTAGCCATGACTAAAAACTGCACAGCATTTACAAAAGTCTTTCTTTGGATGTTACAATCCTCGCTAGTATGACGATCTCATGACTTCCCAAACATTACACCGATATATTCGTGAACTGACCGAAAAGAGCCCTTTCTGTATCCATCATTTGAGAGAAGATACTGTGGCGATCTACACCATAATTGTATTTTTTTTTTCCATTGTGAGATCACTTCTTCTCATTTTGTGCCTTAGTCCTCATCATAATTTCCACTAATGTCATCATCATCATCCTCCTCTTCCCCCTCCTCCCCCTCCTCCTCCTCATCATCATCATCATCACCGTCTTCTTCTTCTTCACTGAACTCGCCTCTTACCATCCCTTCACCAGTGTTGGCAGTGGAAGCGATCGATGAAACTGCGACACCTCCACCCCCCGCGAAGAATGCGTGTTTTTCGGTCAAGGGCCGTCCTTGGCAAACGTAACCCATCGGTGTACTCAAAATATCTTGTCCATGACGGCGAAGAGCAAGATATGAAAGAAGAAATGGTGCGGGCCTAGGACAGAGAGATAGGACAGGCTCCGTGCTATCCGCTGCCGAGAGACTCTCGGTGCTAGTGTTGCTTGTCACGCTGCGAGAGCCGGAATCACTCGCCTGACTGCTTTCGTTCGCACCATGTGCATCCCTCGTGACTAAGTTCTTGATGTATGTATACTCGCTGAAGTGGAAATACAAACGTCCGGCGAGGATGCCGAGCTCGGTTGTTAGCCATCGAGGCATCACCAGTCCACTAGGAAGAGTTGGGAAGGCGTAAAAGGAAAGATCTGAGAATCTCAACATGCCTTTAGACACTGGAGCAGCGTATGTGATCAGATGCATGCTTGGATAGCGCTGCGAGAACAGGAGAGGAAGCACTGCCTCGGCTTCTTCGGGAATGATGACGAGTGCAGTGTACGTCTTGGAAGAGAAAAGGAGATATTCCACGGGACGCTGCATGAAGATCAGCAATCCATTCTTCAAGTTCAATGTTTCTATGAAGATACTTACCAAGAAATTGTCCTTTCCCGCTTTCCCTTTCCTTTGCACTGTCCGCATGAACTCCAATGACACCCAGACCCTCGAACCTGCTGTGCTTAATCCATGCGCTTTTCCCAAGCTTGTCTGGACTAACACCTCTAGCGATCTGAAATACCCACAGTCGTCAGGTAGACTTCCAGTCTGTACAAAAGACTTTATGGCTGGATGTAGTCCAGGGAATACTAATGCCGTGGCATGCCCCGGTGCTTGAACCTGCCGCACCTCCTGTATCTCCTGGGTGACTTGGCGCTCCTGTTCAACCTCCTCTAAAGCAGACGTACGTTGCGCATCCACCATGGCTGAACTATTCTGGCGGCGATTGAAGTCGTCAACAAAAGGCTGGAGCGCGGGATGTTTGATTGAGCTGCGCTGCTGAAGGACTCGCTCAGGGGTTTCTGCATCGCCGTAAAGCTGCTCGAGAGTTTGCATCTCTGGATGTTGAATGGCGTCTAGAAGATTTTCACGCTGTTTGATGTCTGTGATTGCATTTCTATTTCTCGCAACTGCATCAAAGCGACGGCAAAAGTCTGTGCCTTGCGCGATGAAGAGACTTTGCATGTGCTCATTTGATCGGCAGGTCTGCTCTAGGAGCCACGAGACCACGTGGGATGAATCTATCTCTTCCTTTGACCGGGGCTTGCAGAAATCCACAATACTCTGGTGAACCTGTGGAGGTGCTATCCAGACGATGGACTGCGTAGTGCCGAGCTTTCGGAGGCGCATTGCCGCTAAGGGATATCAGCTAAGCGATACTCATACTAGAATGTGGAGAAAGACTTACCTTGGACTGTATGATCCTTTGTCTGGTCAAGGGCTAATGTCAATGCCCCTCGCGCGACTGATGGGAATTTCATATCCACGCCTCTCGTATGATTTTCATCAAGATAAACCAAGCAACCTTCAAAGTTGTCGACAAACGGTGTAGCCAATAATGGAGCCTTCCGACCACCTCTATATTGCACCCAAGCCCGATTGTCCTCGCCGAAGAATACAGCCGCCTTAGCCTCATGATCAATCTTGAGCCAAAGTTCGACGAGGCTCTTGTTGTCCATCTCCATGATGAACGCTCCAGCATCAATCAATATTCGAACTTTCATTGCTTTCAAACTATGAAGTAAGTCTTCTTCTGTACTCCATCTCCCTCCTGTTTCAGCAATGTGATATTTCCGGTTGCGTGGATCGATGAGATACGTTAAGACCTCAGCGCTAGTTTGATGGAGTTCAGGCAAATCATTCTGGCTTATTGTAAGAGGCAGTAGTATCTTGTTGTCGTTGGTGCCACTGAAGCCCGTCGTAGCCGCGTTAGACGGAAATAGGGGTAGATCCCAACCGCTCGACTGCAACTTGACCTTGAATTGTTTCGCGTGCTGAGGAAAGACAAAATTGTTCATGAAGTGATCGAGTACACCTTGGTTGTGTCTTAGGCATGTCCACAAATGGTGAATCTGCATCTTGTCGTCAAGGTTGATTACACTCCAGTGCTGTAGAGTTTCTGGTAGAAAAGCGGCTCCATTTGACCATCTGTCATACTCGAATGCAGCGTCATCGGCCTGGAGGACTAATCCGAGACCCTGTCTAAATTGCTCGATCGAAAGGCCTGTATAGTAGAAAGACAATATTGTCAGGACAATCGAAACGTCCGGATGCCCAAATTCAGACTGCTCTGAAGGTACTCCCTTGGCCTCGAATGGTACGGCAATCGGATCTCTCTTTGGGTGTAGTCCATATTGAGTGCCCCAGCGTTTCTTCAGACACAGCAAGAGAATCCTACACGAGAGCAACCCACGACATGCTAGAAGCGTTTTTCTGGCGCGTAATGGATCTTTGAAATACTTTAAAATCTGTTCGAATGCAGTCATTTCGAACTCTTCGCTATTGAGGATTAGGCGTATCTGTGAGCCCATCCAAAGAGGAACTTCGTTCTTGGTCTCTAGCAAAGGCGTCTTCATGTCGCTGATTTGCTCAATGAGGTGCTTATTCAAGGCATCTTCGACATCTTCATGGAGAATATACAGCAGAGGAAAGCCTTTTCCCCTAGCGACGAAGTCTATGTGCCTTGGATACTGCCTGACAAGTGCTGGTAGCTGATCTTGTACCATAGCAAGGAGCTCTTGAGCTATCTTCCAACGATAAGGGTGACCGTCAACAGCAACCTGGTTGCCACTCGGGTATACTAACTGTGTCTTTACAGCTAGGGAAAGATCAGATTCGTCGAGAACATCTCGACAGTTTTGGTCGAGCCAATCTTGAAATCTCATCATATACATGGCTTCTTTCAAGTTCCCATCGACTAATCGCTGTCTGCCACTCAGCTTGAATGACATCAAGTGCTCAGGAGCAGCTAGAATGATATCGCCGTCTTTCAAACATTCTTTGTGAAGCTTCTCAAATAAGCCTAGAATACCGCCTGTCGTCTTCGTTCTACGCGAGAAAGGGATATGAACGATTCGGCGGCCAATAAGGCCCCCCAGGCGGGACTGGAGAATTTGGGCTGTCTGCAACAACAGAGCCTTCGGGACAATGAGACGGACAAGTCGTTTTCCGTTCGCTAGCTCCGCAGCGACCATCGGCATGATGCAAGAAGTTTTACCTGCACGAAATCAACAGACGCAATTCGAAAGGACTACATTTCACGTACCACGACCCATGTTGAGCTGCAAGACCGTATTCTTTCCATTCCTCGGGTGTATCACCTCCTTTGCTACGTTGTGTTGCTCTCCACGTATCAATAAATTACTCTCAGCCTCCATCAAGAGCCATTCGGTATGGTCGCGTGGAGCCCATCCATAGTGACCGGGATTTTTCCACTCTTCTAGAAGACTGTTTTGGTCAGACTTCAAAGCTGCGTCCTGCATTCTGAGCAGCCATTGTAATGTGGCAAGCTGACTTGCATACTCCAGAAGAAGATCTCGAAGATCTTTATTAATGAGTTGCAAAGTCGAACTTCTTAATAACTCAAGAAGAGAGGTAGTTGTAGAGCAAGGCCAGAGACCTCCACGTCGAAGCCAGTCAGAAGTGACCATACTGCTATCAAGTGAATGACTCATGCTCTTGAACAGGGCACTCAAGACCTCACTCGTCTTATTGATACTGAGACCTATTAATTCAAGGCTCGGCGGCTTCGATAAAACACCAGAAGATGTCTCTCGATTTCTGAGGACACTCAGACTAGCTTCAAGATCCGCTCCATATCTAGCCCTGACATCGTTAAAGGATCTTGTGAAGTTGCAGAGTATCTTTTCAAGCTCTTTTTCCATCGCAGTCCGGTCATTTTCCACGGGCGCTGGCCGCTGTGGGCCAGATGGTCCATTCCGAGTGTCTGTGACCTGATTTAGAAAGGGTATGTGGACGACCTTATTTGGCTGGGGTTCCAAGCTTGCATCAGACGCAAGGGTCATCAGGGATGGGGTCAACTGTGCTGGAAGTAATTTTGATTCATGAACGGCCACGTACTGACCGGTCCAGACATGAGGAGTGGTAAAAGCGAGGGGTTTGTAATATCTATCCAGGATGGACTGCACCTGATCTACGAAGATAGATAGCCCTCTATTCCGAGAAAGTCGTTCCCATTCCGGTGTAATTCTTTCCAAAGCATCTTCCAGATCAATGATAGTTGTCTCGAATCCATCGATAGATAACTCGGTGGTGGGCCATTGCCTACAGAAGAAGTCTGCCACTAGTTTGCTCTCTGCGACACACTTCGCGTGATGGTCTTCAGCTTCGATTTCCCTCTTGAACCTCCTGCCTTGCATTCGGCCCATTGGGGCTGGGTGGCTCTGAAGGATGAGTGCCTGTAGCGGTTTCTTTTTAGGGACTTCGTGATGCTTAAAGTCGGTGTATGAGTCTTCTTCGGGCCATGTGATACTCTCCATTTCGGGGATACGCGCAAACGCAGCTAGCATTTGAATGGCGTCTATGCTTAGGTTCTTGTTGAATGATAAGACAGCAAGTCGATACATATTGTCATAGTTGAACACACCCTTGGCGTGGCTGAGTATGCGAGCAAGGCTGCCCCATTGTTGACCAAGGTCAACATCCATAACGGTAGCCAGAGTTAAGGTCTCGTGTCTGAGATCGTCCTTGAAACCACCTATCAGAGGAAATTTCTCAAAGACTTGTGCGAGAGTGCGAGGAAGATCTAGGTTGAACTCCTTCATGCACAACAAGACCACAGTTTGGTAGACCTCGGTGCTTCTATTTTCACTGAGCGCTTTGTCCCTGCTTGGATACTTCAGATCCACACAGAGGCTTTTGTTCTCAGTCAGTATTGAGGCACGTTCAAAGCGTTGTCTCTGACAAATTGCGCGATCTCTCAGATAGTCAGGCTCAGACTGTGTATACAGATCTTTTCCTGTATTTTGAATGAATGAATCTAACTCTTGAGAGCGACGCAGAATTGATGACACGGCGTCAAAGAGGCGATCTCCTTGAATTGAGACAGTCAAGTCGTCTTTCCATGTACACCTCTGAAGTCGTTTCATTCCCGTGGGGTAAAATTCACGAGAAGGACAAAGATTCGCAATATCGCCGAGTATTGAGATAGGCACCGAATTTAGAGAAGTCCAGGGTGAAGCCTGGCCCGATTGCAATATGGCTAGAGCCTCTTCTTGTCCAGTCCGACCAGTGAGTACATCTGGCAATACGAACGACGTGTATGCATGATATCTGGCCTTGAGATAGATTAACAAAGGCTCCGGGGCACAGGTCAAGCGACCCAGGACTTTGTCAATATTGAATCGCGCATATGTAGACGTGCTGGCTGCTGTGACGGAAACGTGCATGCCTTGCCGCTCAAATATTAATGGACCGGTTGATGTTATTATGCTACGCTGCTCGTAGTTCAACGGGTTTCGTAAAACGATTTTGCTCCTCAATCCATAGAATGTACCCGGGTCCTGATTAGGGTCAATCTCAGACTGGAGCTCTTTTGATTCAAATAGTCTATTCCGATTAAGAAAGAACGTCAGATCTAGATAGCGAAGCTCTACACACAAACTTCCACGAGCAGGTTGATAGGCGGTGATCCGCTCCGGGATTTCGAAGCCGCCGAAGATTTGAGTAATTTGGGAGAATAGCCTGGACTGTGGGCTAACTAATCTGACACACCGGCGCTTCGCGGTAGCAGAATTCATGTCGACTACCCAATCACTCGCGATTGTCTTCCAGACATGAGGCTTTCGTCGCGTCTCCAGACGACCGGAGTCTAGTTTCAGCCAGTGGACGCAGTCGTCAAGGAGGCTGGCGGGTAAATCGAATCCTGTATCATCTTTGAATAGCCGCCGAGGTATAAACTCATGCAGACCATCCTCTGACCAGGCTTGAATGATGACTCTGTCCCCTTTTGTACCGAAGTATACTTCGTGGCCTTGCATTCTAGTTCCGAGACGATAGCTCATACCGTTGAAGGTAGCCGGGAATGTTAACAAGTGTTGTTGTCCAAAGAGATCCTGTACATCTGCTGATGAGCTGATCTCATTAGGGAGCCTCCCAAGAGGTTTGCCATTCACAAGGAGGTAGCCTTCGAGGAAATGATATTGGATATTATCCTCGACGACTCTGCCATTAAGCTGGCGGCGAAATACTGCTGTGACCCAATGCTCGTATGGTGGCAACTGAAGTACCCAAGTGGCGTTTCGGTCACTTACGGAGTGAGGCTCTCCCCATGTCGCTTTGATAGCTGTCTCAACTTCGACCTGATACAGCAGCAAAGCAATAACAAGTTGAGGTCTGAGCGCCTGAACCATTTTCAGGTCAGCAGTCGCAAAGTTCTGCAAAGAGCTTGGTAGGTCTTTGATAGCAACCACAAAGTTTGCTCTTAATGCTAAAGATGCCTGTATGAAGACATTGACATCTTCGGCGGTCATTTCTGTGGCTGAGCTAGCCATATGGGCGAACGTACGACGACAAAGGATAGCAGCCCAAAACCCGTATGTCGTAGCTACGTCGACAGTGCTTGGATCCGTTGCATTCATGATCTGTGTTCGAAGTATTGTTGCCCACTTCAAAGTTGTTTTCCGTGCCGTTCCTAGTAGCTCCAAGGCAATCGTACGATATGCTTTCGGGGACATTTCAATGACGCGCAAGAGCAAGATAATGATAACTGCCATGCAATTGTGCTCTCGCCAATTGGATTCAATAATGGAGAGTTTCTGTTCAAGAGCTTCGAGAAGGCATTCGCAAAATTGGGACTCTTGTAAGAAGTGATGATGATCCATAGCCTTTCCCTTGACCTTAGTCAAAGGCCCGACCTGCAGAGAAAGTTGCGTCAAAACTAACATCGTGTCTTCAGAGCTGAAATTGATATTAGTAGAGCTCAGTTCGACTAGTATTGCCATCCACCGTAGTTTCATAGTGGACAGCAACTTCTGATAAGATGCGAATTCCATCTTCGAAATACCTGCTGGGCATTTAGTCTGTCCAGCGACAATCTCATATGAACTCGGTCCTGTAACAGTGGCTGGAGGGTGTTGGGGTACTTCTATGACGGTATTGATGATACATCGAGGAACATGGATACCAAAGAGGTGCTGTAGCGTAGGTGGAAGGTTGAGGTCATCCACCCATATTTTCGCCTCCGAGTCATAGTATGCGAACTTGAGACCATTAGGTAGGAGGATATCCTTCAACTCAACTTTCATTCTTTGTGAGCTGAAGTGTGTCTGCAGAAAAGACTTCTTCTGAGAGGCAAGCGTAATCGACGTAGATCGTTTTCTTCGGTATGGCCCTAATTGTGAATAGTTGTCCAATTCCATGGAAGGGACTGAGGACTGCACTGGCCTACCTGGGTATGCCAGATCAAGCAAGATCTTCCAGACCACCTGTCGATACATTTCAATGTGGTGTGGAGTGCCTAGCTCAAAGACAGTGACACCGCTCTGCACTTCGTCGGCGGACAAGTAGTCCTCATGGCAAGTCATCTTCATGCGCTTCTGCATTCGCCAGTGCCAGCAACGGGTACAACCCTTGACGATACGAGCTCCATTCATGTCAGTCCTGCAGACGCACGACCCTTTTGAGGCACCTTTGGCGTGCATATCATACTCGGTGCATGCCTCAGCCCACTCCCTTTCTTTGGCTACGCGGCGTTTTGTGCTGGTCTTCTGTATCTTTGCTCGGAGAGCCTGTAGATCTGGTTGTTCAGATACGAAATTTACAGCAAAGCATTGGTCGTCTATTGAACTCAACATGTTCCTTCCCGGATAACGACAATTCTGCTTTCGATCGAACATGTACTCTTGTATTACGCGAAGGCGCTCTTGATCTATCCGGAGTGAAAGTTGTAATACATTAAGAAGTTCTGGTGTGAACATAATATCATATTGCACGGTGAGAGGACAGGCTACTGCAAGCCACTTGTCCATCTCAGCCCATAGATCGAATACACTCAGGACAAATATGCTGCGCTGGTCGGGACCAAGATGGAGCGGCTCAATCCGCGCGAACATACCGAGAATGTCTTTCGCGAGGCTGATAACCCTATCTTCAGGTGACACAGTACAGGTCAGGCTGCGAAGGGTGCGGCACCTAATGTGATCTTCCATTAGAGCGAGGCTATAGTACAGCTCGGCTTCGATGTGCGCTTCTCCCATCTTAATGCTAAACTCTGGTTGCGCATTTAAGGATTGCACGAGATCAATATTGAAATGAAGAGATCGTATGCGCTCCTCAAGATATGCTTTACTGCGGGGCATTGGTAGGATCAAATCCGAGTCACTAGCAAACCTAGACAACATCGGTATCTTTCGAGTGATTACACGTTTGTACGAAGTCCAAGCATTGCCAAAAGTTTCGTTTGCTTGGTCTATGACGTCCTGGAAGTAGCCACGGGCATTGTTCAGTAATGTTTGAGCGTCCCCTGAGACGCAGCCTTCAAGCTTGGCAAGACGGCGACATAGCTTGGTCCGGAGCAGAACGGACAATTCGATATGCAGTACACCTGACCCATCGCGTAGGAGTTCGGCTAGAAGGACACAACCAAGCAGCTTGTAGTAGGTTTTTCCCATCATATCTCCAAGTGCCCTGTACAGTTGTAGTTGAGACGTGACTCTAAGACCAAGCCACAATGGTGCTCGTCTCCAAGGAATCTCCGACGTTCCAAAGTTTACGTCATCGTTCACTCGTTTCTGTATTCCAGTTGGCTCCACGGGGCTGCCTAGCCCTTCAAGAATAGCCATGAGGCATTGGCTTACGAGAGCAGGATCCTTTGTATCTCTGGACTCGGCAACCGACGCTTTCGCCTTGTCTGCACGCGCAGAGAATGAGCTCAGAGACTCTCTATTGGCCTGCTCTAGGTATCTGGCGAGATTGGATCGAAAGTGAGGATTGACAAACTCGGCTTGTGGTACTTCTACTGCTCGACCCGGAAAGTCCCAAAGAAGAGCGCCTTTGCTTGCGAGGACATGGGTTGACTGCGGAGACAGCTCGAACACTTCAATGATGATATTCTGATTTTTTCCGTCACTGTGCGTCCCGTTAGGAAGGAGTTTGTAAACAAGTAGCGATCAAGAATACCTGTTGGGCTTGCTGATAATCAAAGCAGAATTTTGTTCTCGCAAGTGGTACAAAACCATTGAACCAGCGCCCGACTCTTCAAATGAATTGAGTACTTGATCAACGTCGAGATTACATTTCGACAGTTGCAGACTATGCTGTAGAGAGCTCGAGACGGTGGCCAAGGGCTCGGTGGGATGAGAACGTAGCAAGGCTTGAAGTGTAGTACAGGCATGGATGAGCCGTTCGAAAAGAGCGACCTCAGTTTCTTCCAGTCTCGGATCTTGATGATCGGGGAGTCTTGGCGGTAAGACAATATGGTTATACACAGTTTCGATCGAAGCCATTCTGATAAAGATAGAGAACTTGATAAGATAGACGAAGAAGAAGAATTGATGTAGAGAAGATCGTGAGAAGGTCGCGAGAATAGGATAGAAAACAAACAGCGGTGAAGGTTCGTTAGCAAGGATTGTTGGAGTCACTCCAAAACCAGCAGAGAAAATCTGCATGCAATTTGCGGCCTGACGGGAAGATACAGCGCCGAGGTATCACAAGAATGGGCATAAGCGAATGAAGACCAGTGATCTGCGAGGCAAACACTGGGGAGCGAATGCTGGTGCGTGATTAAAGCCACAGACGGGAAGAGAGGTGAAAGTGGATGACCTGACCTTGTAATATAACAAAGACTTTGTTTGAAGTTGATGCTTCGCATTTGGGAAGTGTAAGCTGACACGCTGATCGACCTGGGATCTGTAGAAAGCTCACCTCTTTGCAGTGCTCACTTCTGCTCCAGCACTCGACCATTGTATAACCATAAACGTTGCCATATATGTTCCGTTGTACTGTACTGATGTATCTTATTCTGCAGTGTTCATCGTGTTGAAAACAAAAAGCTAGTTCATATGCTCAGTGTCAGAGTTGAGATTAGCAGTGAGAAGAAGGCTCATCGTCGAGCTTCTACCGCTGAAGGCTTCAAGATCCACCTCGAACAGACTGTTCCTACTCTGATAGTAGATAGAATACCAGAACACTGAGAATTGAAATTCAGAGCTGAGTGTCGCTGGACACTACGGCGCTGTTGCGACAAATACTAGAAGCAGCCTTTTGTCTAGAAAACACACATGGCGCAGTGATAAAGAAGAAACCTGAAACAAGGCTGAAGTACTTCTTTCGTCCATACTCCCCACACAGAAGTAGCAGCGCTCGTTCCTTCCTTCCTACCTTTCTTCCTTGCCACCTCACGTCACCTACCTAAGGTATATTTGCTCACAGCTAGGACTTTCCCGAGGTCTCGAAAGTGACTACTGAGAATACATCAAAGACAGCAAGTTGACCATATCTCACATGCCTTAAACTGCGCTCACTCGACAGCCCCCTCACCTCAGACTGCCATTTGTACTTGTCACACAAACTGGCAGGAGTCTAGCTGCAGCATCCGACAAGCCGAAACTTCCATTACGCATGAGAGAGCTATTGCCTGGGTTTACCATATGCAAAGGTGTAGCAGCAGACGATTGTTTGATGGAGTGGAGAGGTGACCGTTATGGTTGTATACCCTCTTTGAGAGCAAATGGTTTGTTAGAACCTGGTTGATAAGTCGGGGCTTTAAGAGATGGTGAAAAGATTCGTGCTGGACGGGTGGTGGACGAGTGAGGGTGGTGGGCGGTGGGTTAGTTGGCTGAAGAGCCGCTCATGTTGCCAAGAAGAGTCCGGTCTGACTAGGAGAAGAAGATAATGGAAATTGAAGTCGTACCTTTGGCATTGAAGAGAAATGCAATGTCTCAAGAGTAGAAAGAGACATGATCTTAGCAAGGAGAGCGAGACTCGAGAGTGATGTCACAAGGAAAGGTATCACGAAGAAGAAGAGAGAAGACGACTTGGAGAGAAGAAGACGCAGAACTTTTGATTGAAGCGCACTATGCGCAAATGACAACGAGAACCGCAAGCAAACAGCAAAAAAGAAAAAGAAAAACCCGGCAAAAGTCCAACGCAAACAAGCAACCACACCAAACAAACAACAGAAGAAAAGACACCCTGCAATGCATTTCAGTCCACCCAAGCTTCCGGCTCTTGCAATGACGCGACGACGACGAGGGCTCTACTCAAACTTGCGCGTGAAGTCATGCGAGTAGGTCTCCTTGGCCACTCGTCGCCGCTCGCCATTCTCACCTCGCTCCGTGCGGATGTACTCCTCCTGGACACGCGTGCCCACCGATCGTCCTTCAGCCCTGGCCTTCTGGGCCTCAACCGCCTTCGCAGCGGCTCTCTTCTGCTCGTCATCGTAGATGACTTGCGGGTTGTTCCAGCCAGAGAGCGCGGCGGACTGCGAGGGCGGCGGGCGGACGGCGGGCTTGGCTGAAGGCGGAGGCACCTTCTTGGCGGCGGAAGATGCGCCGGCGGGAGTCGAGGAGGCCAGTCCGTTCCGGGACTGGGCGTGGGCGTTCTTGCCGCGGCGCGAACGCTTTGGCTTTGGGGCCGGGGTGGAGGGTGCGGCGGGTGCGGCGGGTGCGCGTGAGGGCATCACCACATCGTCGAGCGCCCTGCCCTTACCTTTGTCCGCCTTACCTACAAAGGACCCCTTGCTAGGGGGCCCCGAGGAGTGGTGGGACGTCGGAGCCGGGGAGGGTGATGCGACGGAGTTGTGCTCCTCCTTACCTACGAAGGTCCCCTTGCTAGGGGGGCCCGAAGAGAGGCAGGAGCTTGGTGATGTTCCGGACGCGACACCGGACGCGGCAGCTTTCAGGGCAGCTGCGGCCCTTGCCTCCTTCGCGCGAAGGAACGGCGAACGGAGGTGTGGCGGGATGAACGCCGGCTTGACGGTGGTTGGAGTTGGCTTAGACTCCAGAGGTGCTTCAGGCACGTTGCCCTCGAGGGACAACGCGGGCACATCGTTGTCAGCGACCACGACAACGTGTGCGGAGGGCGGAGGCGAGGTGGCGAGAGGGAGACCGGGCGAGGCGGGGCGAGGCGAGGAGGGAGCAGGGGAAAGAGGTGCAGAGGGGACAGGTGAGAGGGGGAGAGGGAGAGTAGAGAGAGGAGAGGAGGGGACGGGCGCCGGCGAAGCTTCGACTTCTGGTGTCGAGAGTCGATGTTGTTGAAGGGCGGCGAGATCCGCCACCGTCCTCTGGAGCTGCTCCAGCTGTTCCTTCGTCGCGTCACCGGCCTTGACAGAGCCGGCGACGACTTCCTCTCGCAGGGCGTCGACCTGCCTGGAGGTTGACTTCTGGATTTCAGTGGAGCCAGCCTCCACTGCTTCTCTGACGCTTTGTCGAAGCGTTTCCGTCTGCGCGAGAGCAAGCTCGCGTGTGGCCTTCACCACGCCGCTCACTTGATCGTGCAGACGATCGAATTGAAGCTTTGTGGAGGCCGCTGCAAGGCCTCTCTCCTTCTTCATCTCCGCGACCAGAGCCTCCAGCTCTGACCGCTGCGTGTCCATCTGCGCAGTCTGCCTGCCCAGCTGATCTGCCTGACGATCCAGGCGGGCGACCAACTCGTTCTCTCTGAGGACGCTGCTCCGAAGCAGCGTGAGGGAGAAAATCGATATGGCGAGAAGGGTCGCCGATCCCAGAGCCATCATCACGGTGACGTGAGAGGATGAAATGGCTGGCTCTGGTTGCTGGGCCAGCACCGCATGGGCGGGAAGGGGATTTGCGGTGGGAGGGGGTGGTGCGAGGTTGACTCCGGTTTGACGGCGAACCGTCGTGGCCTGGGCGGAGGTAGCGTTGCCATTGACGATGGCTGTCACGCTGATTGAGATGCTCTCACCGCAGAGCATGCCATAGATGCATGAAGATGGGGATTTGCCATCTATGGCACAGCTCTGAAACTTGCGGCCAATTCCTTGCATGTACTGCACTGTCTCGCTGGGCAGCTTAACGATAGCCGCATCTTGATAGAACGCTGCGACTTGAGGAAACTGATTGTGCACAGCTACACCGGTTCCGACGGCAACAGTTCCACCCACTACCGCTGTGGCAAGGGCTTTCGCCCACAACCCAAGATCCGACCAGTGCATCTCGGGATGCTGGAATGTTTCGTTAGCTGGGTTCTGTATACACGACAGAGTAAATGACATACCTTGGCCGGACGGGTGTGAGCTTTCAGAGCTTTCAATCAAGCGAGACTCCAGAGCTTGACAAAGCGGAGATTTGAGCCTTTCAATGAAATAGGAGATATGGTCAAACTAGAGTGAGACGATCTCTGTGATTGTAGGGTTTGAGGTAGGTGTGAAGGTTGGCAAAGAAGAAGCTCAGGGTAAGTAAGAGTTGGAAACTTGTTCGATGTTGTGGTATAGAGGAAGATGGTTTTAGCATGAAGAAGAGATGGTTGTAGCTGGCGGGGGAGCGGCGGTATAAATACCCTGGGGCACGGGCCGCAAGAAAATTCTGCATCGACCAGTCATCCCATTTAGTCGGCGATGACGTGTAAGATTATAGATAAGAAGTGAAAGTGAATCGTTAAACGAGTGTTGAGCGCTATTATATGGCAGTTTCGGCTGTGTAAACAATGTCAGTTCACGCGAAAGGGGCCGTGCGCGAGACTACGACAGGGATCAGCCGGGTTGACAGCGGTGTGGCTATCAGAATTGCGTAACCGATTCCTCTTGTACGACTTCCGGGGTTTAGCCATGACGTTTCGATGCCCGTGATGAGCAAATTAGGCAAAGCGATACCCGGGAATTGCGATGGATTGGAAAGCAATTGATGGAAGTGAAAAGCTGTGAAAGAGCCAAGAACACTCTTGTGCCGCAGCATCGAAAAGGTCGCGGACATCAGGGAGCAGTGATGAACATGAGCAAAGATTAGATGCGGAAATGGCTGAGCATGTAGCTGACAGTGAAATAAAAATGGCGACCAGTGAGAGAATATGTCCAGTAAAGATCAAGAAATATTTTATAGACTAAAAGAGAAATCCCGGGTAGTAATGAGAACGGTATACAGTTCGAGAAGAACAAGCGCTTATGCCTCTTGCGCAAGAGAAATTAACTTGACGATAGATACTGATGTTTGAGAGATTACGTGACGCTGTCCTGGATAGTATAAAACTGAGAGTATCCCCTGACTCTTGATAATACCACTCCGGAGGCATCGACTGTCCAAGGGCGACATGGTCATGGCCACGGGTATGCACTGGATAATCCTGTCAATTTCGAACAGTACTTGTGAATGCCGCAGATGCGCATCCAAGCTGATGACAGCTAGCGACCTCATACTTTCTCCAAAGAAGCGACATAGTTTCAAGGACCTCGGAGCATGAACTCTGGGGATCAGTTTGTGGTCGATGGCCAGTCAGGACGCTCAATTTTCCCCCAAAGAGATGTCAATGAAGGAGCAGGTATGCTATGAAGTGGCAATAAAAAAATGAAAATTGACGCCATTGCAACTCGCAGCAGCTGATGAACCAAAAAAAATCGAGCATAGTTATGCGTAAGGCAGCTTTCATTTAACTCTGCTCTTGCTGAATGCTTGGCCATTGCAAAGCCCCCATTGCCATGCGCAAAACGTGGGCAGGAGAGGACGTGAAAGTTACCGCAAGCATGCGGAGTCGCGTCAGAGCAGACTTGTTGATACTATACTAATGGAGGACCAGTCCTAAGACTTCCATCGTCACGACTGCTTCAAACTTACGTCTCGGGCGGATGTTGATGGCAGACAAGGGAGGAGCAGCCTCGACAGAGCGATGCTGAGAATGCTAGTTGTGACAATTATATTGCGAAGCATCCACCGCGATATGAGTTTCGAAAGAAGAGTCGATCATGTACCTATGTCGATGTTGTCGTCTTCGGTCAGCATGTTCGGCGAGCGTGCGCAGGGTGTGATGAGATCGGACGCCCAAGCCCAGCGGTGGAATTGTACTAGAGGGAGAGGGTAGGGAGGCCACGGCATACAAAGAGATGGACGAGATGGCAGAAATGAGGTTGGAGTTGAGTCACTTGTGTGGAAAGAGAGGAGACTTGACGTTGACGTCTGAGTGTACTGTTGCCTCAGGCAGAAGCTACCAGGCTAGTGCCTTTTCTGGCTAGCACCATCCTCTCCGCATCTCAGACGTTTCTCGATCGGTCTTGTTGTCGTCCAACCTCCTCACTCGTCCATCTAGCCCAAAATGCCCATTCAGGCCACAAGGTACCCGCAATTTGTGGACATGCATCTGGGCCCAGTCAACATGAGAGTTGCAGTCTGAAACGATACTGTACTCGTCCGTGAAGCTTAAAAAGTGTTGAGACGCTGACCATTGCTTCAAAGAACCCGAACCGAGGCGCTTTAATTGACTTTGACACGATACTGAGTATTGATATATCGACTGAAGTCACGCATGGCCTGCGACAAGCCCTGACTAGAGCTATTAAAGTTGCCCTCCCGTTCTACGACCCAGACCTGCAGCAGGGGAACGCACCATCGGAGGAGAAGCCCGGAGATCAAGAATCCCGGAGATTTTGCAGATCCAGCGCATCGAAGTCACTGCCTCACAAAGTCAAGTTGCCATCCCGCCAGGAGTGTCAAAAACAGGACTGCGCTCGCCACTCTCTAGCAACATGGATGTTTGTCTGGGTTCCTGGCCCTGGGCCTGGATGTGTCAATACGCCACAAGGAGCGCTATCATTGAAGATGGAAGATGCCGATCAGGTTGACCAACACTTTGACAGCGTTTCCATGCATCAGATCCGGCATTGTACCCAGTTTGGCTGTAGATACAGCACCATTACTGGCCAGTATAGCCTGCCTCGGCTGCTTTCCCCAGCACTCGCGTGGCGTCCACAAAATAGTGACACCAACTGTGGGGTCCCCGCAAATAGCCAAGACGCTACCATGATTCAATATCGTAGCTAGGGCTGTTCAAGAGTTTGTGATGTAGGTCTGGGCTTCTGCTGTGCCTTGAGGTTCATTTCGTCGCGGATACACCGAGGTACTCGTTGGGTATATAAAGGGCATAGGGGTTCGACAACTTCCTGCAAAGCACAAGTCCATCCATCAAACTTTCCCATCTTGATTCACCGGCCCAACCAATTCCAAACAAACGGACATCACTAAGTCATACATACTCTATCAAAATGAAGGCTACGTTCGTACTTGCCGCTCTCGCTGTCGCCGTTGCTGGCCAGACCACTGCTGATATCCCTTCCTGTGCTGTAAGTCATAACCACTATGCATCTTACACTTCAATTGACACCATATAACAGCTGCAATGTCTCGCCACTTCCATCACAGGCGCCGGCTGCTCTGTTGAAGACCAGGCCTGCAGCTGTGAGAAGACGGATGCCATCACCACCACTGCCACACCTTGTGTGCTTGCCGCATGCTCTATCGATGATGCCCTTAGTACGTGTTCTCCCTTCTCCACTATTGTGTTGATATCTGGCTTAAGCCTTGTTCAAACCATCCTAACATCAGCTCAGAGACCCAGCAAGTCACCCAGGCCATCTGCGCCAACCTGTCCAACGGTGGTGGCCAGTCCTCCGCCGCGCCCTCTGCCCCAGCTTCATCCGAAGCACCAGCACCATCCGAGGCACCATCGTCAGAGGAAACACCTGCACCCACTCCTACTCCTACGCCTACCCCCACTGGATCTGATGAGGAGCCCACTCCCACTTCGACTCCACCAACTTACACCGGTGCGGCTGCTCGCTACGGCGCAAACATCGCTGCCGGTGTCCTGGCTGTCGGTGCCGCTATGCTGTAGATGAAGGTTTTAGAAGCTGCTCGTTGATCGGGGATGGCTTATACGATGTAATACGACCATATCGCAGGAATTTAATGCAGATGAATGAATGGAAGTAATTGGACATGACACCTGCTTTTTGTTCTGAATGACTCGTATATCACTTTTTCTGTTTTGTGATCTGACCTATACCCTCCCCCATGCACACTCCCTGATCTCTGCACATCCCGAACTTGGCCCTCTGTACATGTGCGAGCCTTTCACGCACCATCTTCCTTTCTCGAGCTTGAAGCTGTAGAAGTTTCCTACCCCCTGTCGAGATACACAATGCGAAAAGAGGGGGAAAAAAACCTATTCCAACGTATTCCACTGAATTCCAGTACCGCAACGCCCACATCCATCTCTCAACACCACACATAGTCCTCCACGTCATTCTCTTCATCTCCTATATTCAGATAATGCACTTGTACCCATAACTCTCTCACTCTCTTCCAAGCATACCATAACTTTTAATAAGATTTACTACAAAACCGGAATGATTACAGGGGCAATCTTTATGATCTTAAATATCAAATTTCAAGATTGTAGAGGTGGCATAAAATACGCCTAGGGAAGCCTCCGCCATATACTAACCTTTATCCTTTTTTCCGTCTTATCACGAGGTCTTTTTGGTCCTTCGTCTTGCCTTGCTGTGAAAATGATCGGTTCTATTGGATGCCTCCACACGAGATCTTTTTCGTATCTCCAAAAGATCGGATCCTTTAGAAAAACAGCAATTTTGATAGGGAATGGTCCCCAGCAGCTGGACGAGACTGCAAATGGTCGCCTTTGAATCGTTCTCTGTCCATCAGCAAAACTGGCATGCTATAAAATAGTTATTTCGTGCAGCGAAGTATTAGACAGTTCACATACTAGGAAGAACTTTACTTGCTCGATTTCTAAAGCTTCATCATCGCAACGTACGTGGGCATGCCACATGTACTGATTTCGGTCGACGCAATGACGTTTTTCAAATGTATTAGCATACGCCAGAGTGATCTCGCGTGTAAAAGAACGTTCAGAGGTTTGAGCTAGTGTTCTAGCAGAGCTGAAGCTACAAAACGTTGCCGCAGAGGGTAAAAGAATGTCGATTGTCTGACAGACTGATTCCGCAGATGGTCGATAGTCGGCTTCCGTGCTAAGCATCTTCCGGACCTCCGTTGCCACAAATATGTAGTCTCCCTCTGGGGGTTCCCACTGCGATTCAAACCATGTAAATATGTTCTCAACATTAGCATGATAGGAGTGATCCGCGTTTCCTCGAAAAGCTTCCTTTTGCCCCTCAGGACTTAACCCACTACAAGAAGCCAGCATGTCGAGGAAAAGGCTCCCTAGGGAAAAGATATCGGCGTAAAGGGTGACACCCGTCAGGCCAGGCCGAATAATTTCAGGAGCAAAGTAAGACGAGACTCCGCGTAAACTATCCCCGGGTTGATCTGGTGTGCCTTCGGAATCATCGGACATCATTCCGAACCCAGTGACCCACAGCTTGTTGTCTTGTCCAAGGAGGATGTTCACTGGTGCAAGGCGCCCGTGCCGAATGCCGTTGTAATGAAGGTAAGCGACGGCTCTTGAGATACAGCCAAGACTCCCCATACATATCCTCAAGTACATGTCGCGCATGGCTTTCGTAGTCAAATCAGTTCCATTGTGGCCGAGTGAGGTTAGGGTTCCTTTGTCGTTCGCTGTGTCATCTTTGCTGGGCCTGTATTTAGGCAAGGACAGACGATCAATCTTCTTCAAGACAGTGGCAAGGTCACAAGTGGCTGCCACGGGGTCAAACAGAAGTCCGAAAGTGGAATCCCAAGCGTAAGATCCTCTGAGGCGTACTAGGTGAGAATGGTTCAGCATCTTCAATTTTTTGAACTCCTTTGCTGCGGCTTCGCTTTCTTCCCTCGTGATGATAGTTTTGGAGGGACGTTTCTTCTTCAAAACCAGGAGCTTCCCAGAGTATTTGAATTTGTATGAGTCACCATCGTACCTCTGCTCGTCGAAGGTAGCAAACTGTTGAATTGGGTCCTCCTGTTTAGACTCCCGAAAGAGATGTGACTCCCCTGCACCTGACCATTTCCAGTCATCAAGATGAAAAGCGGCCATAGGTTCTTCCTATAAAATCGCACTCTTTGTATGAGTTTGCCGTAGAGAGTGCAAAGCTGAACGCCGACGCCACTAATACTGACCGATCAAGAGATATCTAGATTGTCTCGACCAAGCATAAGGTTTGGCGTTAGTGTTGATGGCTATGGCAGTCTCGCTGGAAGTATTTAAAAATTGTTCAATGGCGTGAGAAAAGATTCAACGCTTTGCTATCGCTCGGGGCATTCGAGACGACGAGGCGACGCGGAGAAAGTTAAGTAACAATGCCAAGCTCCTCACCGGTTTACCATCTGCATGGTGGAGTGGAGTGAGTCCTGCAGATAGCTCTCATCTCAGTGGTCGATCGCAAGGAATTCATTGAAAGTGGTGTACCCGATCATTGGATAGACACTCTTATCTGTATGAGTCATTCGTATTATCCATGTGCAGGCTTCCTCTAGGCGGCAAGGCAGACACGACCTCGTGAAGCATGGCTTACTCAACGTTTTCAATTAACCTCGATAAAATATATATAATCTAATCCTCAAGTAGAATAAGCTAATCTATTTATTCTAGAGAGTAGTCTAATAAACATTTAAAGAAAATAGAATAGACTCTATAGTAGTATAATAAGAACTATACTAATTTATTACATATAATAATCTTTTATCTAGTATAATATATACTAGGACTCTATCTCTAGAACTACTAGAATATAATATAATAACTAGTTTAAGAAGAATATATTTTCTTCTTTACTCTTAAAAAGCTATATCTATTAGCTCTTTCTATAACTTAAGTAAGATAGTATAGATATAAAAGAGATAGAGAGAAGACGTAGAAGAGTATATACTATATTATATACTCTATCGGATTGCTTATCTAGGGGGGATTCTTATACTTAACTCTACTTTAAAATATATTTAAGTATAACTTCTAGTTATATGTTATTCCATGTAAGGGATAAATAGTATATATAGAATAAATTAGAAGTTATAGATACTTAGTATTCGTTACTATATAGTACTATCCTAGGTAGAAAGCTACCATGTACGTGTATTAATTTTAAATAAGTATCTATCTATCTGGATTAGTTATACTACTACGTAAAGCTCGCGTATTCTTGCCCTCTCTTTCTCTCTCTCCCTCGGCCTCTTTATACATATACTATATCACACCAATCATATAAAGTCCCACATCATACACCCTATACACCAATCATATCGTCACCTCATATACATACATACACATACCCCAACCCCACCTACCAAGCCTAAGCACGCCCACCGCCAATCCATCCACCTAGCAGCCAGCCCGTCAGAGACTCGAGCCTTATCAGGATAACCCACATACATATGCAAGACAGCATCAATCAATCAGATACCATACATACATACATACATACATACATACATACATACATACATACATACATACATACATACATACATACATACATACATACATACATACATACAT